GTGGATAACATGGTCTTTTAAAAAAAATCATCAAGATGAAGACAAACTTTTCAGATTTTCTCTGCAGCGTTAAAAATTAAATTTAAAGTTTGCTCTTAAATGCTGGCTTTATTTTATCTGAAAGGTTTTGTTGCAGCAGGACTGAGACAATCTTTCCAGGTTACACATCTTTAACTTTACAACAACAAAAACAAAATATTTGGCAAAAATAAGTAGTTTAATTTGTTGTAGAGGATTATAATTGTCTGGTGTTGTGGCTGTTCGGATTAGAACAAAATTTAAGTTGTTTTTGTTTTCTCCGCATAAAATAAACAACTTAAAGAGCAAAAAAAAGGTTTAACTTGTTCTAGTATTGGCTTATATTTTAATGTAGCGCAAGTTTTTTTTCACATGTTTTAGCCCAGATAGTTTAGAATCAGATTGTAAAGAAATCTGAAATCATTTTGACCCTTTCTTTTTTTATATAAATGCTTTAGTTTATTTTAGTCCAGGTATTTGGCATCTTCCTCTTTAATCTCCTTGTCTTTGGCAGATAAGCGTGACTCCATCTCCTTCGTCACCATGTGGTTTTCATTAAAGTCAACATTTTTCACCTCATCTGTGTGTTACATGTTCACCCACACAGATGTGTCCTCAGTTCTGTAGAAACTGGGTCCAGTTTGATGAAACTCTGTGGATGTTGGAWCAAGTTTGCAACTTCCTGGAGTTTTTTTTTTTTATTGCCCACCTTTTGTCCTCGTGCTGTTTTTGTCTGAGGTGTTGATCTGTTAGCGTAATATCTTGAACCACTGGATGAACTGAATGAAACATTCACTGGTTGTTCATCTACAGCTGATTAAATCCTGGATTTAATGTAATTTAAGATGACTGCTGCTGACAACGGACCTTAAACACAAAAATGGTTCCAACTTGATCAGTTTTCCAGGTACTGAGCTAAAATCTGGTGGTAGTAGCTGAGAGTCATCAATCAGTGTTGAGCTTTAAGGGATGGAGCATTAGGGAGTTTTCATGGTTTTCACTGAAGCTGGTTAAACTTTTGTGTTTCTCATCACAAGATGTTTATTTTTATCAGGTGGTGGGTGTGTGCATTCCTTCAACTGTTGTCGTTCGAATCAGATGAACTCGTCTGGTTGAGCTAACTGTCAGTCAATCAGGGGTTTGGTCAGTTTCAAACATCTGTGCACTGTAATAATAAAACAGTCCTGTGATGCCATCATGAAGTCTGTGTTGGACGGATGCTGTAGTTGGTTTAGGACAATGGGAACAACAAGGAATCTGTGGGGGAAAAAATCAGCCCCCCCACCCCCACATAACATGTTCTCACAACTGGAGCCGGTTTAGACGAGACAGAAACATGAGGGGGGGGGGGTGTCTGTATGAAAAGAGAGATTGATGGAGAAACTAAGAGTCCATTTGTTTGTTTTTAAATCAGTTTTTCTTTCTTGCTCTCTGCACACAGCCCATGTCCCTGAGTCCTCAGGCTGACAGTCCATCCAGGACCAGACCAGACCCGAGCACGAACAGTAACACTTTATGTTGAAGTTAAAGCAGTTCTTGTCTCCAGCCAATGACTCTGACTTGTTGGTCTTAGGTTGAGAGGTTGTGCTGTTCATGAACACTGGGATGGCTGAACCCACACAAGTTGTTTGTTTTTTCTATCCTTGCAGGGACCTTGCCTTGACTTCCATTCATTTTCCAGTCTAACCCTGACTCTTTGCCTCTGTCTCTGTCTGAAACTTGTCTTTGGGGACCAAAGAATTTGAAAATGATCAATTTTAAAGTTGTTTATAGTTTCATGAAGGCCTCCCTGTGTGTCGGTCCTGTTAGATGAGATGCAGTCATCAGCTCATCAGAAATCAGAACAATTTTTGTCCAAACTGAGGATGTTCAAGCATACGAAGCATTTAGGTCAGCAGTAAATCAGTGATTTTAATCAAATAGTTTATAATTAAACAGTCTGGATGTTTGTCCAGAGATCAGGTGACATCGGCTTCCCTTCAGGTGTGAGGTAGGTCCAACAGAACCAGGGTACCTTTAGGTGACCCTCTTTAAGTGACTCTGTTGGTCTTTTAATGGGATTTATTTGAAGTTAATTCAGGTTTTTCTGATAAGTTCACGTGTGTGGAAAAGGGTGGAGTTTGCAATCAAACAACCAATCAGGATTCAGAGAGAAGATTACAAACAATCAACTTTAAGCTAATAACTGGTGTTACATTTAGTATTGCTTTTTGTCAAGGGTCTTTTTTTTCTTTCAGATGCAAAAACTGTTTTCAAAATGTATTTGTTTCCATTTAAACAAACTGATTTAACAACTTGCTGTAATGAGTCATTTTATTCTAAATGATACATTTCTATCAATCGTTACTTTAGGGTTTCTGTTCTCATTTATTCAATCTTTGTTTTTAAGATTTTAAAGTATAGAAACTGTTTGCAGAATTAAATCCGTACTGGCAGATGTCTCCTCAGAAATTTGAAGTATTAATGTTCATTCCTCAGTTAAACTTCAGATCGAATCAGTTTATTTCAGCTTCTGCAGCTGAAAACATTCAACTCTTTGTTCCTGGTTTTACTTGTTTGTGTGTTTTTATCTCAGACAGATGTGGGTTTTATAGATCAGATTCAGCTTTTAAGTGTGCGTGTTTGTCCACCATGATGTGTGTGTGTGTGTGTGTGTGTGTGTGTGTGTGTGTGTGTGTGTGTGTGTGCAGCTGTATGAGATCCTTCACTGATCTAAGCTGTGATGCTCATTTAGTGCGTCTGATCCTGACCACAGGATGTGTGTCACCAGTCAGCTCCGCCCCCTTACATGTGTGTGTCACTGTTATTAACCCTTCCTCCTCCACCCATCCAGGCATGGACCTGTCAGCCAATCAGGACGAAGAGAGCGACCAGGAGGTGTTCCAGGTGGAGATCTGCCGCGAAAACAGGAAGTGTGCTTTTCGGACCGCGGCTGGGAAATACTGGACCCTGACTGCTAACGGGGGTCTGCAGTGCACCGCCTCCACCAAGTAAGAGCCTGACACACCTGCTGCAGTCCGTCCAATCAGTGAAGCAACTGGTCTCTGAGTTTGGGGTGGTAATCTGAGATCTGTGTGTGTGTGCTGAACCCAAACTTGTAGTGTTTGTTTTGTTACTTCAGTTTTCCCCCCTCAACCAGAGAGCCGGCCGTTAACCCCTGATCAGACTCCTCCTCCTCCTCAACCACAAAATGGAGTCGTCCTCTAAAATAATCGGTGTGGAGCTGAACAAAAGCTGCACAACCAGATCCAAGGGTTAAACTAATGAGGGTTAATGCTTCACACACAATAAAAGATGAGACCTCAGACCCGGTCCTGGATCCTGAGGGTCACGGTGCAGAACGCTCTGCTGGACCTTCACCACATTCCTCCTCCACATTCCTGATTGTTCTCCCAGAGTCAACCACAGGAATCTGATCCCCTCAGATCTGTCTGGAGGAAAAAACAACTGGAGCCCTGCTTGGAACACGCTCAGGCGAAATGTGGCCCGTTGGACCCTTTCTATCRGGACCTCTGTCTTTTTAAAGAAAGTAAATGATGATTTGAAGGGTGCTGCCTGAATCATACATCAACTCTCTGTAAAGTTTAGTAGTTATTMAAGACTGTGGTTACAGATTTCATTGACAAAAAGACATTTTTATGTATGAACTCTAAGAAGTTTAAAGGGAACAAACATTAAAAAAAGTTAAAGCTGCTGCCAGTAGTGTCAGCATCAATCATCAGACTTAATCTGAAAACAGAGGCGTATTGAACATTTTAAGCTGAACTGGCAGAAGTGTTTTGTTTTGTCTTGACCTCCATTGAAGCATCAATCAGTTCYTTGATAAATTGATTTATCAATGTATTTTTTTATCCCTAAAATATTTATCAGCTAATTTAGCTAACACTATACAATGAAGCCTTATCAATACGTATAAAAATACAAACTGGTTCAGTCAGCAATAATCTGCTATAAGGACTTTTCAACAGTGTGGGYAGAGATGAACAAACAGGATCTGAAATGAAGGTGAATGAAGGTGTTTCAGTGCACATTCATTTAAAATGAAGCAGTTTTAAGTGCTGAAAGTGGAAAAAATCTACTTGTTTTCAACAATGATTGTTTTAAACTAAACATTTGTGTGGGAAGATCAGAGTTTAAACCAGATTATCCTTATAATCTGCTCAGGTTTAATGTAATGATGGCTGAAGATCCACCCAGTCTTCGTGTTTCAGTTTAATAATGTGTGAAATAAAAATGAAACTAATGTTGCTCCTCTCTGCTGCAGAGCTTCTAAAAACACAAAGCCTCAAATCAGTGAAAAGAGCTGCTTATTTCAACATTATCCCAGGGATTACAGGTCCAATTAGTTAGTAAACCTGTGTATAAAACTGATCTGAAGGTGTTTTTCACACACACTGACTCTGTGTGTGTGTGTGTGTGTGTGTGTGTGTGTGTGTGTGTGTGTGTGTGTGTTGTGGTCTGGGAGCATCCTTGATGTTTGACCACAACTTTGAACTTAAGAGAGACTTTTAATCTGTTTATTTTTCTCTCCTCTACAAACTCTCTTTTTAAAAAATAATCTGTTCTCTCTTTCTCACACTTTTGTTGTTCTATCCTTATTAGGACCTTTCATTGACTTCCATTCATTTCTATAGCTTAGCTCTGACCCCCTTACTCTAAACCCAACCCCTCTCAGTACATATCTGACCCTAAATCTAACCTAAACTCAATTCACGTCTTGGTCCTGAACTTTACCTCCAACCCAAAAAGGGAGTTCCACATTTGATCCCATAAAGACTGGTGTTGATAAAGCAGGTGTGTATACCAGGAACTGTCCTGCACACACACACACACACATTCTCTCTCTCTCTCTGTGTCTCTGTCTCTGTTTAGTCTGTCAGTTTTGTGTTGTTTTGGCCTTCGGCTGTCCTTCAGAATGTTTTTCTGGCCTCGATGACAAACTTTTGACCAGTTTTGACAAGTTATGAGCTGAAGGATGAATCCTTGAGTGTTAGATTAGAAGCTTTTCTTCTAGAAGACTTTATTCTGAGCAGCAGCTTCAAGTTAAAGAACTATATTCACTCTGGTGTGTGTGTGTGTGTGTGTGTGTGTGTGTGTGTGCTTATCAGTAGCATGCAAAATGAGTTTCCTGTTCTGGTTTCATGTCTACCTTTCTCCATGTTTTTAAACTTAAATCTCGTTTATTTGCACATCCTGTTAATCGACTCAAGAAAAATATTAATCATGGTTGTAGGAAATGAAAGTAGCTCATTTTTTCAAAGGCTGGGAAATGTAACCTAAATTTAAAGAACATCCATGGAAGACATGAGCAAAAACNTTTGCTTGTGGATTGAGATGGAGAAGGTTCAAGGACCACCTCTGGACCCTCAGGTCTTTGTCTTTGTGTGCTCCACAATCTTTGCTTGTGGATTGAGATGGAGAAGGTTCAAGGACCACCTCTGGACCCTCAGGTCTTTGTCCTTGTGTGCTCCACAATCTTATCTGTAGCAGCAGAGCTCAATGACTTTTAACAAACAGCTGTGTGGATTTTGACTCTGGTTTAATCTGTATCTCTGTGCTAAAGGCATCAGACCGCACGTCGTCCCATGTTGTCTGGCCACGAGTCGACATTATTACAACCTCCACCCCGCACACTCCCCGCTGACAGGAAATGAGACGCATGACGTCCATCCCTGACCTCGACTGCAGCGTGATAATCCCTGCAGGGTGAAGCCTGGTGATTCTGCAGAGTGAACCCTTCAGCAGCCTCCTAATATAAAAAGTGAAGGATCAATTTAAGCTTCCATGATGGTGCTGAGTGCTTACTGGTGTTTAAAGAGCTTCTGTGTGTTTGTGTCAGCATGTCGAGTCACTCTGAAACCTCCTCAGTTTTATTATAGGCCAGTGTGAGGGTGTGCCTCAGAATGAAGACTCTGCAGCTCACCACACACACACACACACACACACACGCACACACACACACAGTAGGGTTGCAAGTAGTCATGT